TCCTTTTTAATAAGAGGAACCTAAACGTGAACTAGTTCCTTTTTCAAAGGAACTTTCCAAGCACTGTATCTAACTCCATCCTTTTTCTGGGGGGGGGGGCTAGATAAATAAATTGGAATATAATGGTGCGGTGTTATACCCCACGACCCACCATAAGTTAATTTTAGGTTTAAATTTTTTTTTTTTAGCTTATGTACTAAGCGTATACATAAGAAAAAATTACCAATACATCACTGGAATATACATAACATAATATAGAACCACTGAGAAATTATTATTAATTTTTACCATGGTCACAACCATGGGCGTACCTAAGAGAATTTTACTGTGAGGGGGGGGGCAAAGTTGATAGTTTGGCCATTTCTCAAAATTGATTTGAGACAACTTTTTTTTGATTTAACAATGTTTTTTTTATATAATTCAATTTGTAATACTAATTACGAAAAAAAATACTTATAATTAGGTATAAAAAAGATGACAAGAGGGTACCTAACTAACCTAACCGGTCTGCTATACTATATAGGTGTAGAGACCGGCGAAGCGAACAATGCCTGATCTAATGTCTTGCTGTTGAGGGACTATAGTTTGCAATAAATTAACACGTATGTGGTCTCAATATGAGTGTATGACAATATAGTCAGTACTCAGTCAGTACCTACCTACAGAAAAAAGTTACTTGCTATATTTTTACTTTCCATCTACATCTACACGATTACACAATACCGCACACATACCAACAAAAATTATTTAGTTATGTAGGTATATAGTTATGTTAATATATTATAAGACAACAATCACTGAATATCATATAATATATTATCATTGGTGCAAATATTGGTGGGAGGGTTTATGGGGACATAGTCCCTCAACATTTCTGCCTAGTCCCCTAATTAAAAAGTCAGGACTTAGTATTAAGCATATATAGTTTTTAGAAAATATAGGAGAGAGGACTCAAGTCCCCTTCCCAAAAAATTGACTTATTTGCGCCTATATATATTATATATTATACAATTATATAGGATGTATAGGATATTGTATACAAACAGAAAATTAATAAGATACGTAAGTGACAGATAGCAATTGGAGCAGCGAAAATCATTTACTATATACATACCTATAGTATATACAGTAGTCACTCGATAATTCGAAATTCAGGGGACCGAGTTAAGAATTCGATTTATAGAGGTTTTAGATTTACCGAGTGTTCGGATGATCGAGGGAAAACAAATTAATTCGAATTAAAGAGAGGTGAAAAATTGTATGTATATACTACATTTATTTTGACATTTATTGATTATACATACATAGGTCAGGACGGTAAGGTACGATAATATTTATACAAACTATGATAATATTTAACCACTGTCGTTATTAGTTTCATTACGAGTACGTCAAAATGTCAAATAGATTGTGAATAATCTATATATGTACTTACATGTGAATTTATATATAGTCGCGTTTAAGGGGATATGATTCCGTGATTTTCTGTTTTTGTCTAACACAAGCGTGACATGGTATTTTAGACGTGTTTTTTGCCAAACATATACCAATTGATCTAATGAAGCGATAAGAATTCTGAAAACAGATTTGAATTGGTCGTCAAGTCTACTTGAAATTGACTTTCCCACATTTTTGATATTATATCCCCCTAAAATGTTATTATATAATAACATAATAACATTTAATATTGACTTGACGACTAATTCAAATCTGTTTTTAGAATTCTTATCGCTTTATATTTTTTTTTTGAATCAATTGGTATGTTTGGCAAAAAACACGTCTAAAATACTATGTCGCACGTGTGTTAGACAAAAATAGAAAATCACCGTATCGAATCCCTTTAAGGAAATTCGAATTATAGAGGTTCGTGGAAAAAAATTCGAATTGTAGAGTGTGTCCCACCGACAGACATTTCGAATTATCGAGGGGACCGGAATACATGAATTTTTTTCTAATTATAGAGGTTATCTCAGGGGACCCAGTGTTTAGTCCGATTTATGGAGCTTTTCGAATTATCGAGTGACTATTGTATGTATATTGTATATAATACGACATGCAGTGGATAAATTAACACGGTCAGCTATAGAAAAGTCTAATTCAGACATCTCCAATTTCGAAAAAACAAATCAACAACAAACGGAATTTCTTCTATATACTGACTTTTATGGATGATTAAAGCTGATGTTGAATGTTAATATTATACACAAATAATATAGGTAGGCATAAAAAAAAATTTATTTAACTTGTGAAAAATTATTTTTTTGATTTATTGCTTACCTATTCGAAATGAATTGTTATGTAATTCTTTTGATATTGCATTTTGGTTTTTTTGTTCCATGTACTTAATGTTTTTAAATATACTTTATTATTTGGGTGGGTGAGGTAATGGAACCACGCCAGATGTGTGACACCGTTATACAAACCATAAACATAGGTGATATAGGTACCTAATACTAAATAGTAAATAGTATATATAGTCAGTATAGACATAAAACTAAACAATAATGCTTACTGGACATATTATTATTTATTATATTTAGTCATACGCATATTATATATATATAACCTATACCTGGGTATATACATCATTACAATATAGTTCTGGTAGAACAATATATGTGGAACTTAGAACTAAAATTTCAATCTTTATTACTTAAAAACAGAAATTAAAAAAAATTCATAAAAAGTTTAAAGTGCCAAATGATTATAAATAGCACAAAAAGGGATAAAATATACTGACAATTATATCAATATAGTATAGAAAATGTTTCTATAAATATTTTCTAAAAAATTAATTGTATTTATATACCTTCATAAAATGTTATTCATTTTTGAATTCCAACAAAATTAAAAATTAAAATATTACAGTCGTAAAATAGTTGGTTTTACATAAAAATCCCTGTTTTTCCCAATTTTCTTCCCCCCTGATTATTTTTAAACGCACTGCAAACATCTCACAATATATTTATATTAATTTTTTCAATTTTGTGGATTTGAAATATTTAAAGATTTTTTAACTTTTATTTTTAGTATTTTATTTTAGTCAAAATAGCTTGAAAATGTAATACATCGTTCCTCTGAATATACTTATAGTAGTCCATCCTTACAGCAGTTAAAAAATATCTTAAATACATGGACACAATTTTTTTTATGCGTAATTTACAATACGAAATTGGAAATTTTAATTTATGATTTTTATGGTCATATTATATTTACTATTCCTATTATAATTGACATAAAATGATAAAAGTACAAATAAATGATTATTTTAAACGTAATTTATGTAAGAACCGATAGGTATACCTAAAACTGATAAACAGAGAAAGCATATAGTTATAAATATTGAAATACATTGTATTTATAGGTACGTTTGCAACAACATGTTTGAGAATTTTATCCCCTGTTTGGACAAACAATAGTCTATATGAATATATGATAGAAATTTCATATATGACTTATTAAATGTATTACCTATATACTTCTTATCAAAACACATAAATACTAAATATCAAGATACATTTTAATTGTAATACCTTTTTTTTCCCTGTTTGAACCGACAACCGAGAAACTATGGAACTACTTTCACATTGTTTCAACCCCGGCCCCAATAATTTTAATTACTAAATGTGGTAACTTTTTAGGGAACCCAGAGAACTAAATGCCTAAACGTTTTATGAATATTGAATAGGTATAATGAACAGGTAAAAAAATTATTCATGCCCTGTGTTGTTTTTTCCAGTTACATAAAAGTTGACACTTTTGATTAAAATATTAAATACTCACCAAAAAACTAAAGGTATAGGTATTTAAAACTTTTAATTTTTAATTTTTGATATAGGTACCTGCCTATGAACAATATTTTACCATGTTGGAATAATTAGCTATTTGGTTGTCATAGGATACACAATTTTAAATAACGAAATAATGTAATATAATTTATTCAAGAGGATTAATAATGTATAACACAGAAAATTGTACAATCAGAAGAATCCCTTTACTCTGTTATTTTTATTAATAGAATAAATTCACCTATTATCAAATTTATAAAGGTAAAAATAAAATGTTTTCCAAGGCTCCACACCCATTGCACGTAGTAAACTATATTTGATACTTGAACGAAAAACCTAATTATGAGAATTTAGGCATTTTACAATTTACAAAAAATTTACAATTTTAAAATACTTATAACTTACTTTAACATTATAAATATTCTTATCTTTAAACTTGATAATAAGTCAATTAAAATTAACAGAGTACCTAATATGGATTCTACTGAACGTAAATGTGCTGTTATGCCATTACAGTTATGGTGTCATGCATATTATGTCAAACACAAACGTGTATGACGCCTAATTACCACATAAATAATTGAGTGACCACCCACGCCGGCGATAAATAATAATAATAATATTTTCATTATCATTTTATCGTCATTATCTTACTATACAAACTGTATACCTTATCGACACAGTGAGAAATGTACCTATATGCATTATCGCTGACTGTTGTATACCGTCGCAGTATTAACTGTTGGCCTTCAATCGCGCAATTAACTCGATTGAGCTTGTCAAGTCTGTCCAAAAAAAGGGGTCGAAAAATAACGTATGCGTGAACCTACGGCAAATTTCCGTTTGGTAAATGCATACCCTGCAGAGTTACTATACGCGTGGAAGTCATATTTGACTGCCTACGTATTGTTCAGCGTCGAATAATATTATAACCTCGTCAAAGAGTACAGTATATGTAAGTATACTGTAGGCCAGCGGTTCTCAAACTTTTTTGTTCGCGGAGCCCTTATATTCCTAAAAAAAATTACGGAGCCCCAAAAATCAGAAATGTCTATATGAGACAACTAAAATTCATAAAAAAAATGATGCCAATTGTAAATGATTTGCTTTTTATTTTTATTTTCTGTAAAATACGAATATATACAAATTATTCAATTAATATTAATTTAATTAGAAAAAAATAACATAAAATTTTAGCAATTTATTTATTTATTAATGTGATCCGTGATGTTGGCTTTTTTTATTGACCAGTATTTTTATATTTGGCTTGATAGGCGAGAGTTGAATACGCATATCTGCTTCAGCATCCAATTTATTACGATATTTGGTTTTCATTGATGCATATGATGAAAATCCGGTTTCACATAGATATGTTGTTGCGAAAGGAAGAAGTGCTAAGATAGCTTTTTTAGCCAGAGATTGATATTCGTTAGTAATACTGCTACTGCACCAAAAATCTGTTAATGATATTTTATCAAATAAAGTTTTTAAAGATGAATCGGTGGTAAAATCATATTTTAAAATCATATTTTCTTCTTTTACTTACTGTAGTGGCAGATGTCCCTGTATCAGATTGTTTGTTAGGTGGACTATTTGCTCTTTTTAAACTCGCACTATTATTCGGTGTGACACATTTATTTTCATTTGCATCTGATGAGGATGATCCCACTGTATTTCTTGATTTGTTAAGCCAACGATCCATTTAAATTTTTATTCACAAAAAAAAATTGTCAACAATAAAAACAATTGATGGTAAAATAGGAAACACGTAATACGAAATAAACACCGAAATAACAATATTTGCGTCAGCGGCCGATGAATAACGAGTAATGACTGAAGAATCAAGAAATTATTAGAACTTCGTAGAATGTAGATTGTGCTATTGTAGATAAGTAAACTAAATAATTATCGTACCATTTGTCAAATGAACGAAAAACCCGACTTTTATCTAATCTCATTTTGACAATGACACAAAATATGACATATGTGGATTTATAAATACCTATTTTAAAGTTTTAAATGTTTAAATGTTTAAAATAATACATATTGGTACGGTCCAAATAGTATTGATTATAAAAATAAAAATTTAACTAAGAAATATAATAATAATTTAATAATTTAAATTTAATTAATACAGATATTCTCAGGGAGCCACGGAGCCCCTAGACTAATCTCGCGGAGCCCTAGGGCTCCGCGGAGCACAGTTTGAGAACCGCTGCTGTAGGCCATTTGGCAGAAAACCTACAGCTACCGCTGTGGCGGATCACGCCGGGACTACCCCCACCACAATATTAACGGCGGCAATAGGGTCACAGATTCCTTCCGAGGCGTTCACACAGCACCACCGCCACACACACACACACACACACACACACACACAAGTACATGAGTTTTGTATTTTTCGTGAACATCGAACACTTGGGTCCGTGAACTGCTGCTGCACCGTCCATTTTACATTTCGTCCGATACACTCGTATACCTACTACTCCATCGGCTAAACCTACTAACTAGTTTATATTAAACTTCCGCCTGTACCATTTGGTATTTTGTCTACACCGGTTTAGTAGCCGTATATAGTAAATATAATATTTTCTATATACCGTCGTGCGCCCAATCGTTAGCTTCATCTCACGATATTATAATATATTATTACTTGACTACGTCGATAAAGAATACACGAGCATCATCATGAGGAGCGAAGTTCTCGAAGAAATGCCCGAAGCAATAATGGAATATTTCTGTGAACAAGTATTGAAACGCGATTGGCCGAACTGTATTCACGTGAGTATATAATATTGAAAAAAAAAATGTATTAGTTTTGTAGTTACAATGTGTAAATATATGTTTATAATATTAAGCATAAATTATGTTTATAAGGTTAATATAGAATAAGTAAGATATTATAAAATACATTTTATAAAGGCTCATTGATTTCGAGTGATTTCCGTTGATGGAACTTCATGAAAGATATAACTTTTAGATTTAAAATCAAAATTCATTAAGTTGATTTATCTGCTGGTGCAGTTTGCAGGCTTTCCATGTAGTGTTTGGAACCTTTATATTAAAATAATATAGGTTTCCTAAAAATTAAAATTTTGAATTAACTGAATATAAATTCAGTAGTATTTACTGTATATAAATAGGGACAAGTATATCTGTGTTAAATTACGAGTTATAATAGTTAGGTACTCACACATATTTATATAATGTATATTATTATATACGAATTACGAGATAATAAGAGTATGAAAAATTAAAATATAAATATAACAAATTTACTATATAATATAATATATGTATTCTATATTGAATTAGTTTGAATAATTTATTTGAACAGTTTAGGTTGGTAAAAAGTACATACATATGTTATAATTAAGTATATATATTGTAGATAGGTAGGTACCTACCTATATAATAAAATATCGATGACCAGCATACATATGTAAATGTGTATTTTTTAAGCAGGTAAATTATGATGACTAAAGGATTCATTTAATTTGACGTTGCGAGATTATCATTCAGTAGTTACCACAGTTTGTATCCATAGTTGGGCCTATACATATAATATAATTATTACCAAGTTTATATGATGACGGTGCAACGTTTTTATTGATTAGGCAATGTGCCACACTGTCACATACACGCGGCACACGTGTACACAGGCAGCTTCAAATGCCTTCAATTACACTTCAGTGATTATCAAATAATAATAATATTATTCTGATTTTTTTCAAAATAAAAACAGCAAATACCTATTGTTTTTATTAGAGTAAATATATAATAATATGTATGTTCAAATTATTATTAGGTAATATTTTATATTTGTCTTAAATATTTACAAACTATTATTTGACAAAGTTTAATAGGTAGGTTCCTACTTATATTTATTCTATCGCCCAATGAGTAATGTCACTATATGGGGACTTGATACAAAATACAACTTCACATATCACATAGGTACACATATATAATTGTATTATTTTTTTTTAATTTAATTAAATTAGGTTTTACTTATATACTTACGTAATACTTACAATATATTAATAAAGTACCTCAAAAGCTTAAACTCTATATTTTATTTTCAATTTTGTACTTAGTATTATTTAAATGCCATTATATAAAATAGTTCATATTTTTATTATTTTTTAATCATCTATTCGTACAATATACTATAGTTAACACAGTGTATAGTTTACAGTGTTTACACCCAGATATTCTCAGATATTTATAGATCAACATTTGAGCCACTTTATTTATAACCTGAAAAAAATTTCAATTATAAATACATATAGTTCTAATTAGATTGTTAAATTACAGGTCCAATAACGTGTATGTAATGCACACTATATAAACAAATCGCATGGCTATATTTGATTCAAGTACCTACTTCCTTGTTAATTGTTACAAACAAGCAAACCACAATTAATACCTTCTAAATATAAAATAATACACAACAAAATAAATTAAAATTAATGTAGATAAATTACAAGTACATTAATTAATTTATAAGCTTCTATTCAAAGTAATATTCAAAATAAGCCCTTCTGACTAGATATAAAGCAAAATCAAGTGTTTGGCATTAGTATTTATTCCTGTAGGTACTTTGGCATAATTAATTAATTATAATTATAATTTTGAAAGCAATAACAATAATAATTGCCTTGGAAAAATTAGATTCTAAACAGTAGGTACTCTAGTAAAATAACATAACGGTTGCTGTTGTTGCCTGATGGTTGACGGTTGTTGATAGTTTTTCCTTATCACCTTCGCCTTTAGCCCGAAAAATAACGTCTTCAATGTACCTTTAGGTGCCAACTAGACATATCTAAGTACAAGATTACAAAACATGTAACTATATAGCTTATTTTATGCCTAAATTAATTTCCGTGTAATCTATTGAAATTGTTTTAAGATTGTGAATCAACTGTCAAGTGCAAAGGCCATGGTTAAACTTTTTTCATTCAGTTCAAATGTCTTAGAGTACTTACTATGAGTAAATAAAAAATAAAAAAATAAATTTAACTTCCCAATTAAGCTACGTAGTTAGTATGGTATACTCAATTGTATAATATACATAAACATAAAAATAAAAAGATTATTTAATATTAAGAACTATTTCGGAAATAATTATTAATTTATAGTTTTAAATTTACAGGCATATTATTTCATCAAAAATGCATTTCAATGGATGCGAAAAAATTCGGCATCGAGTTACAAATTATACTATATTTCTAATGACGTTGAGAATGGAACATTTATTGGGATTTTATCACGACCCGTAAGTACGAATAATAAATATATTCTTTGAATGTTAATAAGAAAAATTTCAATGTGATGACCATTTTATTTTTATACAGCAAAACTTAAAAAGTACTAATTGGTTACAAATGTTTGTTTTATATGCTGTATAAATTGTTATGATTTTTTAATGTGATCTACACTGAAGGTTCGGATGTTTTAGATTATTACACGGCCAAACATCTGATTGTTGATGTTATTTTTAAGAATCTTTTTTTAATTCTAGGATTTTTTTCATCCATGACGCTGGAAGATACATTATACGAATTGCACAGTAATATTAATTTCAGGAAGAAGAATATCCAGACGTCGTAGTTACATACACTTGTCCCGGAAACGAAGAACAATTCCGAAGGATGCTGTTTAGCACTGAGTACATCAACTGGCAGAAGAAACCACTGTTCCAAGCTATACCGTTCAGGATGAAGGCCATCGTGGAAACAATGATTGAGGAAAAGGGATTGAAGAGTAAACTATACTCAAATGCTGTGCTTAAGTGGATGCCAGCCGATGTAGCCGCCAGATTAGATTACGAGTAAGATATATCTATATGTATATTATATACTATTAAACTAAATAGGTACCTATTAATTATTTTGTGTATTAGGTACTGTACTATGTATAAGTAATATAATCAAAATATTTGAATTATATAATATGATCTTTGACTTAGGAACTCATTGTTAGTTACATTTTAAATTTTTTATATATTTGCATGAAAGCCAAAGTTCAGTTTTTAACTTATGAGTATATATACACGATATTATACACAATTGCGTATTTAGTATCTATAGATACTAAATACTAATATAAATTCTACACTAATGCATAGTATAATTTGGCTCGTGATTTTAATCTTTTGCGCGCGTTTTTATTTATTTTTATATTATCTATTTTGGAAGTATACGTGATTAATGTTTTATCTAATAGAATTATTAAGATAAATACTGTATTATAATGGTTTGCTAAATATGTGCATATTAAAATGTAACTAAATTGATGCCATGGTAAATTAGTTATGTATTGCGAAAGGACGAAAGGTATTTAGTCAATAATGTTAATTTTTATTTAAGTGATAAAACATTTTACAACAGCTATACTAAACAATAATGAAACGATTAATATTACAAAAACAGATATTAATTTAGAGTGAAGTGTACATGAGATCGATCTGGCCATTATATTAAATTTAATTGATTTCAAATTGAAATAAGTTGTCTGATCGATCTCATAACTTCACGCTGAATTAAAATATTATAATATTTAGAAATTATAATATTCATCAATCTTACTTATTGACTCGAAATGGATAGTTGTTACTTTTAAGTATGTTGCACATCCGAAAGACAGTGACAACAAACATCTGACCCAGTCCAAAACTTTCATGTGCAGTTATTAAGTACACTGATATTATATGTAATTATAGGATCTTGAATTTTTTTAAATATTTAGTTAAAAGATTTCCCATAAGTTATATTTGTCTACAACAATGTAGTATTTTATTTTGTTGCTAAAATTGTGTGTATACTAAATACAACTACAATAAATGTACAGCAATAATTCAACCTTTCAACTACACGTATAACTATATATAACACATAAAAAATATTAATTTTTCATATATCTAGATATAGATATATCACGCTATAGCGTGTTGAAACAGCAATCATTTTTTTCCTTTAATCAACAGGAGTACACCTATTTAAATGAAGTGTTAAACATTAGCAAATGGATAGAAACAATTAAATACTAAAATATTGTTATTAAATATTTCTAAAGTTCTATTAACAAATAACATTTATAAGAATTCCTAACTACAATATTATAAACGTAATGGGCTTAGATTAAATAATTCGTGATATAAATTCTAAGATCGTGATATTAATAGTCCATGGTTCTAATTTAATAGTAATAAATCCAATTTCTATTTTTCTATAAATTATAATATACACGAATATTAACCAGGTTGACTTGATGCGCTTAAAATCACTTAAATATGAGGTTATTCTTTAATTTTTAGTAGTTGAATAGATATGAAAAAAAAACCATGAAATACGGACAGTCAATTTATACGAAGGTTCAATAATTATTGAATTTATATTTTACACTTATAAACTAGAATCTATGTATTATATTTTAACAATTATAAAAACTTCATAGGTCGATGATTAATAACTTGGGATGGGTATGACTCTGCTATACGACTGCCGACTTTTTTTTTTTTTTTTTTTTTTTGATTTGATAAACCATTTATTAAATAAATTAAAAACACTAGTACAATTAGTATACTAAATAAACATTTTAAAAAACATTTTGGTTTAGCTACCTTCTTTAAGCGTAGCTTGAGTTGAAGGTAGCGAGTTATTATAGAGTTATTTCCTTAGAGATTAAAATATGGCATAAACAATATAGTATTTACAATATGACAAAAATAAACAATAAAAAACAAAAAAAAAAAACAATAAAGAAGAAGTTATAAACAACTAACAAGATACTTGAATTTACAAATCGTTTATAAAAACATTAGTTAAATATTTATTTATATTAATATTATTACTTAATCTAAGATACCTTTTGACATTAATTTCTAGGTAATTGAAATAAGTTGGCCCTAAATAGTCTACAAATTTCTGACCAATACATTTATTAGAATAATTGACATTTAGATTGTATTTTAAAGTTTCACGTTTATTTATATACGGATCGAATTTAGAATGATTTTTTAAAGTAAAAGATATAGAATATTTTTTATATAACAGATTTAGAGGAAGTACACCCAGTTCTTTGTAATTTTCATTAGAAGAACCAACTCGATCTGTTTTATTTAGAGAGATACGAACAGCTCTATTCTGTAAAGATATTATTGGTTTTAGTGTTTTTACAGAGGCACCACCCCATATAGTTATACCATATTGTAAGATAGATTGATAGAGTGACAAGTAAACAATTTTCATGGTATCTGAGGAGAGAGTTTTATTCAAACAATTTAACTTATATATAACAGTTCGTAAGCGCATATTAATATTTTGTACATGGATATTCCATCTAAAATTGCAGTCTAGCATTAGTCCTAAGTATCTGACCTTTGTTACCCTCTTAATTTTAAAATCATTTGAACCGCGAGTTTTATGACTATCATTATAAATTATTAGTTCCTGATTTGAAAATTGAGTACAATTATAAATAGAAAAAGCAACAAAAACAGTTTTATCATAATTGACAGAAATCTTTTTTAAATTTAGGTACTGAATGAATTTATTTAATTCTGTTTCTGCTTTATTGTACACCAGATCCCATGTAGCATCAGAAAAAAGTAAGCAGGTATCGTCGGCATAGGTAACAATAGATCCATTAATTTTCATGTTACATAAACTGTTAATATACATTATAAACAATACTGGACCAAGCACGCTGCCTTGTGGTACACCACAGTTTATATAAGATTCATCACTCATATAGCCATTTAGTGAAACATATTGAACTCTACTTTTTAGATAGCTTGTAAACCATTTTAGACTTTCATTGACAATACCAAAACTTGGCAAAGCAATTAATAGTTGTCTATGGTCGACAGTATCGAAGGCTTTAGCAAAATCCAAAAAAACAGCTATAGCTTTTTGACTGTTGTCAAGTGCATTATAGATATTTTTTGATACATTATAAAGTGCATCAATAGTTCCTAGACCTTTTCTAAAGCCAAATTGATTTTTAGATAACAGGTTATTTTCTTCTAGAAATGTAATAAGTCTATTTTTTACTATTTTTTCCAACACTTTAGCAAAAATACTGATTATTGAAATGGGTCTGTAATTTCCCAGAGATTGTCTATCACCTTTTTTAAAAATTGGTTTAACGATTGCTATTTTAAACTGAGTGGGAAAAATACCTTCTTTTAGACTTTTATTATAAATAGTAATTAATGGGTCAATTATAAGAGGTAAAATTATTTTAATAAGCTTTACTGATATTTTATCAAATCCTGCAGCGGTGTCCTCTTTTTGTGAATTAAACAAATGAAGGACCTCTTTTTTATCCACATCTTTGGTAAAAATATTATCAAAGTGCTTATCAAGAGGTACTGGTACTTCCATATTTACTGTATTAAATGTTTTACTCAAATTGAGACCCACCTCAGAGAAAAACTTATTAAAAGCATTACATGCTTTGATTGGCTCAGATCTACAGTTTATTTGTTCTTCATTTGCTCTTATTAATTTAATATTATCATTGTTCGTCAAGTTTTTACCGGTTATTTCATTAATTAATTTCCAAGTAGCTTTTGGATTTTTTGAAACTGAAATGAATTTATTTTTATAAAAATTTATTTTTGCTATTTTAATTAAAGAGTTGAGTTTGTTTCTATAGGATTTATAATAAGTTACTAGGGATTGATTTAGTGGATGTTTTTTAACTTTGATAGAGAGTTCGTTTTTTCTACGAGTGGAGCGAAGCAGACCTGCTGTCATCCATTCTTTGATTCTTTTGTTTTTAGAGTGAAAAAATTTTTTATTTGTACAGGAGCTTATAGTATTTAAGATTATGTCATAAAATTTTTTTACCGATTTATTGATATCGTGATCATTAACTGAGGTCCATGTTTCATTTTTTAATTTACTCTTCACTAACTTATAGTCTACAATATCTTTATAATTATTGTCATTATGACTTTTATATTTCAGTAGAGGGATCGAAGTTATAACTGGGCAGTGATCTGTGATATACATTTGTAGTACACCTGCTTGAATATTGTTTAGTATATTATTGTCATTAGATTTAACAAATACGTGATCAATACATGAGTGAGTATGGGTAGTAGGGAGTCTCGTATAAATGTTTACAAAAGAGTGAAACCCATATGACGAAAGCAAGTCTAGATATTCATTATCTATATTGTCGGTGCCAATTATATTAGTGTTCGTATCTCCGATAATAAGTGTACGGTCAATCAAAGATTTATCAGTTTTTATGATGTTAGATAGACAGGTCAGAAATTCATCGCTATTCGAGGACGGGGATCTATATATACATAAAATATTAAATCGCTCGTTGCATGACATATCAGATAACGTTAAGTTAACAATATTACATTCATTACAGCCGTATTCTTTAAAATCAACAGAGAAATTATCCTTAATAAATATAATTATACCATCATTCTGGTTTCTCTTAACTTTAGAGTGAAATAATTGAAAACCATTTATATTAAAGTTACAGTTATTCGTATCATGCCAAGTTTCAGTTAATATAATCACGTCTAAATATTTGAACATTACATCATTTTCAAAAGATAAAAGTAAATGATCGAAATTTGCATTAGCGCTTCTTATATTAACACATATTACATTAAGAAAATCTTTTTTGGGCAGGTTTAATTCGTTAAAATATTCCGAAATGGATTCATAGTATTTAGTTTTATAGTTTAAATATGGATTAACCGAATTAAGAATATCCATGTTTGTAGTTTAAAGTAAATAGGAAAAGGAAAAAAGAAAAAAAAAAAATTTATCAAAATAAAAAAGAAGTAGGTAAGGAAATTATTATGACGAACAACCTTTACTAAACTATTTTAGATAGTGAATTATAGTCATCAATAATAAAAACGTTAGACGTTTCAGTTTTTTTTGCAAAAATTTTCGAATTTTTAAACCATATAAATTTAAAACCAACCTCTCGTGCAATATTTTTCGCTTTGTAAAACAGATTTCTGTTAACTTGTGTCATTTGTTCATTAATGTAAATGTTGTTGTTTTCCCAGTCCTGGTGAAGTTGATTAGCCTTAATTTTCTTTTTTTTCGATTGAGTTAGAAGTTGATGTCTAGATTCTTTTGAATTAATGCTGGCAACAATTTTTCTAGGATTTTTATTTTTACCTGAGAATACTCTGTATGCGTTGTGGACTACAATTTCAACGTTTAGGTTTGTTGCAATTTTATTAACGATATCAAAACACGATTCATCAGAGGATTCTGGGACACCAACAAGTTCAATATTATTTTCAATGGACCTTTGTTCCAGTGAGTTTATTCTTTTGTTAAGTTGCAAAACTTCTTCAGATAATTTAATGTTCTGATCCTTAATCAATTTATTTTCTGATTGAATTTGTTTTAAGGAGGAAAACATTTCTTTAACTTGGTTTTTAAAAATATCAAATTGTTCGCTCAAAAATTCCACAGACTTTACTAAGGCTTCAATTGTGTCATTTGAGAATGTGGAAACGTTATTTTTTACAACATTTTGAGCCAGAAGTTTTGTTGAAGACTTATCCTTAGGTTTACATGAGCTGCATACCCATGCTTTTTTCGATATCTCCGATGTTTTCTTAAAAACAGCCTCTCTGAAGCCCGCACATACAAAATGTAAGTATTCATTACATAATTTGCATTTTATATGTTCTCCAGTAGCAATTTCATCATTACAAATTGAACAGATCATTTTAAAATATCAAAAATAGTAACAAAAAGTACGTTTGATTAGAAGGGCGAGCACGAACGACTTCGAACAACAGTAATAAGATAAGAATAAAATACGCGATAAGCGAGCAGAAACGACGTCGGACTACGTCCAATCTCGACGGAAACAGATCGATAACTTTACAATAACATTATATTTTTTATTACGAATTTTTAATGAAACTATATTCAATTGTGTATGATAAAAAAATAAAAAATGTAAAATACAAATCCATGGTAAGAAAATCCCCAAATTATGTATATTAAATAGCTTAATCTGTTAAATTGTTGTGTCTAGGCAATAAGCCTTTGTGTTTTCTGAAAAAAAAATATGAACTTATAAATGCTTAATTTCCGAGTTCTGGTTATGAATTGTAATTTACAACAGTTATAATTATTGATTGAGATATATAGAATAGATTATAGAATATTATAATGGATGCGAGGTCATTTTAATAATCCATTAAATTATGTTTAATAGCCAACGCATTGTAGTTTAAGATAAGATAAAAAAAAACTTTTATATTTCTTTTACAGAATATAAAAAAAAAACAATAGGTACCTATTATATGAAAAAAGAGGAAACTTATCAGTTTTTTAAAAATAAAAAATGTACCTCATTATAATATGAATTTCAATTTCTCAGTTCAAATTCGGTTATCTTTAAATTATTTTTGTTTCTAGGATTCCAGAAGATGTTTTTATTGACCAATTGGGCGTGGATCATATTGACTTTATTTATTCGCTATGGAGTCACAGTGACGTTTACCCAAAGTCCGACCTTTGGGATACAGTAAGGCTCAACATTGGTTTAGGTGTATTCAACCGGCATAATGGCGAGCTATTGGCGTGGGCCATGTGCGGCAGTTACGGAGGTCTTAGTACTTTGATAGTTCAGCCAGATTACAGAGGACGTGGTTTTGGTAAGCTGATTGTGTTGGCAGTAACAAAGGTAATGGGTGAGAATGGCGTCTCTCCTCATGCACTTATCAATGAAAAGAACAAAGTTTCATTGGGCTTGTTTAAGAACGTTGGCTATGTTAAACATTCAACGCCATTACCATACGTAGTAGTCGAAGACCCGGATACTTCTGGGCCATAAATACCGGGACAATTACCTTGGCATTTACCCCAACGATTGGATTCAAAACTATATACTATTCATTTAATGAAACGTTCGAATTCCGCTAAGTAAGAAGAGATCACCATAGCGGAAACAATGACGATCTATGCAGAAACTGCTAAAATTATAAAGATTAAAGAATAATGAAAATCATTTTTTTTTTTTTTTTTTAATGATAATAAATTAATTTCATATTAAATCTGTAAATATCCCATAATACGGATATACCTAATACATTATACTACTATAGTAATATGTACAATTTAAAAGTGTTCCACACTATCGTGGAAGAAATATTTAAAAACAAATTTATTTATAATTATTATTTATAAGATTACATAATAGAATTTATCTAAAGTATGAATTTATATTTTTAATTATTCATATACAATTGGACTTGTTTATTTAAAATGTCTTCAGAGTTTTTGTGTTTATTACGGTACGAAGAATAAATAAAAACAAAACATCATGATGTGGTTCCCTTTTATTTCACTTATGAACATTATCTTCTAATTAGATGTTGAATTAATGTTTAAGATTTCACTATAGTATAATAATATTTAATAATAATCTAAACCTAGGGTAGACATTTTACAGTGTTAAATCTAATATCGCCAAGTACCAACGAATTCCTGATTCAAACATCTATAAGAAATAGATTATCATCTTGTATACAAATGTTATTAACTTGTCTAAACGTAATTGACAATACTATAAATAGATTTCTGTATTATTTGGCTGTATAATTTTTGAGGTCGATTAATTAGGCCATTGACTTCTCTTACAGGCAACTACCACGGTTTTTTTTGGGAGGGAGGGATATTGTGACCTATGTCATAAGCATTTTAACATTGGCTGTCCCGTATTGATATCAGCTTGGTATAGTATTTGTCTACCTATATAAAGTCTAAACAAACCATTATTCGATATATTTTGTTATCCAAAACTAAATTCCTGTGTCGGCCACTCGGCCACCTATACATAGTAATAAGTGGTTTGGGTAATGTTATAAAAGTGTAAATGTACTAAATATTATGATATTTTCTTTAAACATGCTATATTAAGTATTAACGACAATACGACACTCACAACTAATCCTTATAATTTATAAGCTACAATAGCCGTGTATCAGTTTAATATTCTATTGTTTGCTTAAACCCTCAAAAGTCAGTCAATAGAACATAAAGCCTGGGCATAAACGCGTTAAAAAGTTAAAAGTTAAGTTAAAAGTTAAGTTAATTTTAACTTTTAACTTAACTTTTTGAAATTTAATTTTCATTAACTTAATTTTTAACTTAACTTATTTTAATTGATATAAACTTAATAAATAACGAGTTACTTTTAATCAAATTCAAGTTAAGTTAATTTATAAATAATTAAATAATAAATATAATAAAAAAAAATTATTATTGATATTACATAACCATTTATTAGAATAGGAAATTACAAATATAGTTAAATTAATTTCTCGTTCCGTTAACCAGAATTCTTCAAAAAAATTAACTCGATTAAATACATATATATATAGCAATATGCAATAGCCAATAGCCAATTATATTATAACATAGAGGTGTATCGTATATATAAAGATATACCGTACCATACAGCGGCATACGGGCATATTGTAATAATAATAATTAATAAATACTAATAACTAATAAGTAATATGATAAACCTATTATCTTATTATTTTGATATAGATACAAATCAAAAATGTACAATTCTGAAGAACATAATGTAAAATATTTTCGGCATAAATAGGTTATTTTTAAATTAAAACTAATTGGGTTGTGCCCATGTACATTTATATTTCAAATGTTTATATTTATAAACAGTCAATATTGTCAGTAGACAAAATATTCATAGCCCACATGGGTTCACTTTTCGTTCTCGGCTCTATCAGCACGCAACACACGATTTCGGATTTACAATACCGCGTTTCAGTGATTTGTGTGAATTGTGTACCTACAATATAATAATTATGGGTAGGTAGAATTATTCTATTAATTCAGTACCTACCTATGTATAGAAAAGCTATTGGCTATTTCATGTGTTCAATAATATTTATGATTTTTATTATTTTAAACCATATTACTGGGTGTTTATATAGATACAGTAGAACTTCCATGTAACGGTCACCAAAGGGTCTGTAAATAATGACCGCTATTTAGAGGTGACCGTCCTACAGATGTAGAATAACACTCGACGGGACCAAAAAAATTGACCATTACATAGAGGTGACCGTTTACGGAAGTTTTACTGTATTATGAAAAAAAAAAAATTAACTTAACTTAACTTAAGTTAATAAGTTAATTGAAAATGTTCATATAACTTTTAACTTAACTGAGTTAAAAAAAAAATTAGGTTAACTGTTAACTTTAAACTTTTTAAAATGTTTTCCATTAACTTAACTTAACTCAGTTAAAAATTTTCATTAACTTGCCCAGGCTTGAGAACATTTATTTAATCAAGTGGCCAAAAATGAATCGATTTAAATTAATCAATGTTCTTCTGACCAACTAGGTGACATCGACAGTGTATTTCCCCGATTTGGAATAATATAGAAATTAAAATATATGATACCTAACTATTATATTATGGTTTTATTTATAATTTATGAAATAAAACGCCTTCTGTTAATGTAAAAATTACACGGGTAATGGTGAATCCATATATTTTGGGAACAACATTATCACGAAGGTGGATAATCTTCAACTTTGACTATTGTCGAACTTAGCTCTCTAATGTCAACATTAAATAAAATCAAACATTGTGCATACTCTAACATACACATTTTTCACACTTAATGATAATTAATAACTAATAAGTATAATGTAAAATATAATTAAATACAGTTGTTTTCAATGTAATCCGTGAATAATTGAAATATTTTATGATTTTGCCTACCTAGTTCAATTTACAATAATTTGTTGTTTACATTTTTTAACAAAATGCTCCCTGCAGAATAAATAATAATATGACTACATCTGTATTATTAATAATAATTCAACTCTTTCAGACTCGAGTGTAGAATGTATATAATAATCTATATACATAAAAATGGAGACAAAAAATTCGAAATTGCATCAGTTGAGAACGACTGGGCCGATTTTGCTCAAATTTTTTTTAAGATGTTCGTAATTTCCAGGTGAAGGTTTTTACGAAAGAAAATTTTTAAAAAGTCAACCGAATAATTAGAAAAACTGCAAGAACTATTTATTGATGTCTGGGATTTGAACTCGATACCGTTGTCTTTATTTACTCTATTGTGTATTATATTATATTTTTTGCTATTGGTTAATCGGGCATGTTTGTTGATTTGTATTATTATTTTTTGTAAATATATCTTATATATAAATGAATGACGGTGTGTAGATCAGACCTATGGGAAGAAGATACGCTAATTTAAAAAGGGTTAAATTTGGTTTTTTTTATTCATCGGATTTTAGTACGGTTAGGTTAGGTTAGGATTTATAGGTAGGTGGAATTAAGTAAAAACGTCAAACTTGGTTTAACTTTGGTACTTTTTGAGTTAAATCATACACTTACGTACAAACAGCACGGGGTCCGCGATCTACCGCAGGTAAATTACCAATCTGATAATGTACTGCTGCAATTCAGAATTTTTATTCCGGGCAACAGAAAAGTTAAGATAAATCTAGAACATCATACACCGAATATTAAATAACGCATTGAACAATGTTTGAGTCATATAGAGTTGGTACATTTAACGGGAAACGAAGTGCACGGGATCAGCTAGTAATATATAAATATCGTAGTTACTTCGTGAAATCGATTTGTTCATGACGTGGAAACTTCTTTATCACACTTTGTGAAATATGAGAATATTTCATGAAATGGATATGAAATGACCACTCCAATTTGACATCAATACATTATGTAATTTTTTTCACTTTGTGAAATAAAACGTTTACCATAATATGAAGTTAAAACTATTTATTTAGGTATCATGAGTTATTTTTTTAAAAGTCATATTTAATACCATACACGATTTGTTTACATATATATATATATATATGTTTAAGTTGTACCTATTTATACCCAGTAATATTAATAAATAGGTACATAAAATAACCCAATAATATTATTTCATTAACTATGATAACAGGATTATTTTTCCATTATTTGTCAAATATGTTGTAGGGAGCACATTTTTGTTATGAAGTCTGAAGTAGTCAAGTAATAAGTTCCTACCTACCTACCAGTGTTTGGAAAGAACGTGAACGACGTTTATATTTTTAATGAATTTGATCGATTTGTAAACCGTTCAATTTATTTACCATTTAAAAACGAATAAAGTAATGATTTTCCACTAAATTTTTATATGACCAATTTCTATACATGATACAATTTTCAATTTGTTTGACTCTTTTTGAGATATTTATAGATACTTTCAATTTTAAATTTTCTTGTTTTCTATACATTTCGATGAAAACTTTTCACGTGATAAATAAGCACAACATTGTAATACAAAGTTCCTCATTAGTTGAAATTCATCTAAATCATGAAAATTTGAAAATTATTTTGTAAATAAAAATGTATAATGTGGACAATAAAATAATTATTTTTGTTTCTCGGTCAAAATTTTCACACGCTATAAATTATTTTTACATAGCATTTTGGCGTTTATACTAATTATACATAAAAAAGAAACCAATTGAATTATTCAACGAAAATATATATTTGTGCTATATTAATACAATTTACAGTAGGCACCTATAATTATTTCAAATATTTTTACATACACAGGAATATTTATCAAAAGTGTAACTTACACGTCATAATAATATACCTCTAACATAAATAATTTAATAATGCGTAATAGTGATATAAATTATTATTTTCATTTTACTTCGAAATTATTTCATAAATTTTATCAAAGGTGGGCATTAACTAGTTGAAAAATTTAAGTTCAGTTAAACTTTTTAACTTAACTAGTTAGTTTATTTTCTAATCAA